AATCCCAACTCGGCTGCCCACACGCCAAGTACGCTGCTCTCCTCCAATCAGGAGCAGGTCCTACAGTTTATTGGTTGAACTGGAGGCAGCTGAGTAGAAGCTGTTTCTCCCTTCTCAGCGCCATATTGTGGGAGAGCAGATGCATAGAATAAGTCTTAATTCCAGTAACTTAGTCTAGTCCGAGTTGCTCCCCACAAAAATAATAAAATCCAACAAAAATAACATAATATTTAAGAATATAGCTATTAAAATATAAGGAATATAATGTGATTTTACAAAATTCAGGAAAATGGCATTCTTCAGGAAGTGTACATTTCAGGAAAGCTAATGGGAGACTTCTTATGTTGCTGTTTGTTTAATCTAGTTAGTGATAATATCTGTGTTCAATTTACAACCTAAATAAGTATGATAAATTCTTAAGAAAAATTAAAAAGGAAATCAGTAATATTTATTTTAATATTACTAAGAGGTAGAGGAGACAAAGATGACAATGGAGAGGGAAGAAAGATGAAGCTACAGAGATTCCTAAGGTGAATTGTCAAATTGAACATGGAAATCTAGCTTTTGAGCACCAAGACAATGCTAAGTAAACACATTCTTAAGAAAAACTCAGAAAAGAAAAAGCTCAGTTATAGCCCAATACAGACAAAACTGATGAGAGAAAATATTAGAGATGTGGAGGACAAACCAAGAAAATTAAATATGCAAGTAAAAATGCATTCCTAGCGCCCTGTGCTGTGGGCTTAACCTCTGCCTGCGGTGCCGGCATCTCATATGGGCACCGGTACATGTCCCAGCTGCTCCGTCTTCCAATCCAGCTCTCTGCTATGGCTTGGGAAAACAATGGAGGATGGCCCAAGTGCTTGGGCCCCTGCACCCGAATGGGAGACGCGAAAGAAGCTTCTGTCATCTGGCTTCAGAGAGTTTCAGCTGCAGCCGTTGCAGTCATTTGGGGAGTGAACTAGTGAATGGAAGATGTTACTCTCTGTCTCTCCCTCTTTCTGTCTGTAACTCTCTCTCAAATAAATAAATCTTTAAAAAAAAATGCATTCTCAAAGGAAAACCAACAGAAGGAAAGTAAAATTAAAAAAATATGCCTAAGACTGAACTGTTTGACTTTTCAGGGAAAAAAATCTTATTAACTCAGAAGAAAACATAGTTTTATAATGGCATATATTCATAAAACATGCATATTATAAGGATTAAAAAATAAATTCTACCAGCATCTGAGTAGAAAGGCAAAGATGGGCCGGCGCCGCAGCTCACTAGGCTAATCCTCCACCTTGCAGCGCCGGTACACCAGGTTCTAGTCCCGGTCGGGGCGCCGGATTCTGTCCCGGTTGCCCCTCTTCCAGGCCAGCTCTCTGCTGCGGCCAGGGAGTGCAGCGGAGGATGGCCCAAGTGCTTGGGCCCTGCACCCCATGGGAGACCAGGATGAGTACCTGGCTCCTGCCATCGGATCAGCGTGGTGCGCCGGCTGCAGTGCACCGGCCACGGCGGCCATCGGATGGTGAAACAACAGCAAAGGAAGACCTTTCTCTCTGTCTCTCTCGCTCACTGTCCACTCTGCCTGTCAAAAAAAAAAAAAAAAAAAAAGGCAAAGATGAACTACAAAGGAAAAATAGTCCCATTGACCTCAGATTTTAGCCCATCACAAAAAAATGAAGGAAAACAATTTAGCATTGTCTACAGAATCTTGAAAATGATGCATATATTAAGTTTCCATTTGGTCAAAGAAGCATTTTTTGAGAAACTACAGGATATTACCATGTAAGAACTTTAAAATCTACAAAATGCATTTCCTTTCTTAAAAATTATTAGCTCTCCTTTAACTAACCACAAAACGAATTTTACAAAACTACAAGTGAATAAAAGTGATGATGACATTTAAAAAAGCTAGTAAATGCTGAAAAAACCTAGTCTACATAAGTCAAAATATCCTAAAATGAAACTGAATATAATTATAACTATTTTTGATAGAGCAGCTATATAGTAATAAACTGTGAACGTTTAAAATCCCAATGATTGCATTCAAAACTAGAAAGGGAAAACAGAGAAAACTCAGAAGTATAAACATTCTAGTTGTTTTTTAAATGAGGAAGAGGTTAAAAATATCGTTTCATTCTTGAAATCCAAAGTGTAGAACTATTTCATTGTTAAACAGTTAACTACTCTGACCTCAGAATCAGCCCCTAAGGCATTCAGATCTGACTGAAAATACCATGAGAGCATTTCAGGCACAGAAAGCCAAGACATACTGGCAAAAACAGTTCTGCATGAAGGATCTCTGTGAGTGAGACCCCAGTGGAAAGAAGTGGCCATCAAAGAAGGTGTACTTTTCTCTGAATGGAGGAGAGAACTTCCACTTTGCATATGGTCCTGTCTAAAAACAGCTGGAGTTTGTGGACTCAAAAGGCTTCCATAGCCTTAGCAGTTTATGTCAAGAGCCTCGGGTGATCACTGACATAAATAAGAGTGTCAGTTGCTAAATCAACAACGGGAGTCACTGTGCACTTGCTCCCCATGTTGGACTTCTGTCCTTAATGAGATGGACTATGAGAATTAATGGTAAAACTTGTCTTCAAACTGTACTTTATACTTTGTGTGTCTATGTGGGTGCAAATAGTTGAAATCTTTACTTAGTACAGAGTTGGTCTTTTGTATATAAAGCCAATTAAAAATGAATTTTAATGGAAAATGGAATGAGAAAGGGAGTAAGAAGTGGGATGGGAGTGGGTTAGGAGAACGGGAATGGGGGTGGGAGGAAAGAAACACTATATCCCTAAAAGCTGTACATATGAAAATTGTATTCATTAAATAAAAACCTTAAAATAAAAGTTAACTGTCAACAGTCAAATTCTCAACAAAAATGACATTTTAGCTCTTCCTTTGACTCTTTTTTTTTAGCTTGCCTTTTTTCATTTGCTGACATTCTAGAATCAAAATATCTTATTTCTTTCCTCACTTGGGTTACTTATGCTTTGCTATTAGGAATGCTGTCAGCTGATACTTTGTGATGGAATTGTGACATATTCTATTTTGATTTTACTGAGTGTGTATCAAAATTGATTATCATTTTATTAATGTTTTCTTGGAGTCTATGGAGCTGCTCATGTGACTTTTCTTTTGGTCTATTGATTTAATAGATTTTTATTACATTACTTTCCTATTTTTTAAGGTATATTATTCTTGAAATATGCTATGTGGTTCAATGAACTATTACTGAGAATATATTTCAATCTATACTCAGGAATAGAAATATCTATAATTTTCTTGTTTTTTTACATTTTTGGACAGTTTTTACAACAAGTTTATATTGGCTTGTAAAATGAACATAGATATTGACTTTTAAAATATTCCTCAATGATTCTTACAGCATGGGAATTATTTATTTAAAATAAAAATAAGTGTGCGTTTAGAGATTTTAAATTGCTTCTATAATTATCACTCTACTTATATATCCTACTTATTCTTCAAGCTACTATAGAAATTGAATTTAAAATTTCCTGAGATACTTTTACTGAAAGCAGGGAAGAGGAACCCAAGCAGACTTGAAGATTCAGAGAATAGTGCATGTAGGCAGGCCAGAGGACCAGAGAGAAGAGGCTGCACAAGACAGAACTCCAAACATCTCCATTCAACCAAGCACTGACACATACATATATGTGAGGAAACTATCTCAGGCTGGGGAAAGAGTCATCCAAAATGATTAGGAGGAATACAATGCTTCCTGCCACAGTACTGAGTTAGCCCTAGTTAAGCACTGTTCCACTGCTAGTTTAAATTTTGCAGTTATTGTTCTTGTTAGCCAGCAATTACACCCTTAGGGAGCTGAGGCCTGAATAATTCTCTGTCTCCTAGGTATAATTTTGGGCTATGACTATGCTTGTTTAGAAACATGAATAAAATTAACTGAGTGTTCCAGTTATGAATACCCTTCCCCCAAGGTTCATAAATCTAGCTTTGTTGCTAATCCTTCTCTAAACAAATGAGCACAGATATTTAATCCAAATATATTAGTTACATGTGGCTTGCTTACTTCACTGGAAATAAAAAAATTTTGAAAAGCAGCATTATTACTGAGGCCATAAAATCCATTTGGTACAAACTAATCTTCTTATTTTTCAATTTTGTGTATATCAAAACATTTATAATATTTATGACTTCCTTAAATCAGAGAAGTGGTATTTATTTCTTTAAAGCTTCTAAAAAGCAAATTTTCAATTCACTATTATGTTTCTGGAGATCTTTGTCAAAAATATATCATTAGACATAAAAAAAATACACAACAGCTTTATCCAGATCCTACTAAACTTCTTTCTTTTTGGGTTCATTTCTAGTCTTTAATTTTCCTTCTATTCTAAACCAAAAGCTTATTTTTTGCGGCCAGGTATATATTTTTATGTTTATATAAATATCTATAAATATTTATACACATAAATATATATTTATAAATATATACATATATTTATGCCTCTGCCTTTGTAACTCTGCTTTAAAATAAAATCTTTAAAAAACAAAAACAAAAACAAAACAGCCATCAGGGTTGAGGGATAATATGCTAACATCAAAGAAGTTAATGGCAAAATTAAGTATAGGTAGTAGCCAGCAAAGAATGCCTCATCAACAACCCAAGATATCCTCCTTTCCTATCCATGTATCTTTTCCACAGAGGAAGTAGACAGTGTGAGTTACAAAAAGATAGTAACAGTTGGGATTAAAGTAGGTATTGTGTGGGCTTTACCTTCATTAAGCAATCTACATACTAATTTTTAACATATTTCTCCTATTCTCATTAGATATTTCCTATAATTGTAGAATATGAATGCCTATTAAATAGGGGGAGAACACCCCCTATTTAGCCATTTTTCTAACATTTCAAAGTGAGAACTGTTTGGTACCATAAAACAGAGATCTGGCTTGCCTGGCACAAGCTTTAGAGAGCAGTTAGTAAGATTACTCCAATGAATCTCTATTTTTAAAACATGAGCAATACTCACCTTTTCTAGGCCTCAGTTTCCTTATCTCTGATATGGATAATAAAAATGACATCTACTTCATATGGTTGTTGTGAAGATTCAATGAGGTAAATTCTCTCATTGCTCGCTCAGAAGAATCACTCAAAAATACTATTTAAATTACTATTGTTAGAACCAGAAAAGAAAGTAGAAATTAGATAAGTCAATATTATCTTAACCTTTCTCAACCTAATTCTAAATCTGAATAATATTAAATAGATTAAATAACCGCATAATTTCTAACATTCTGTTATTTAACTAAGTACATAAACCTATAAAGCCTCTTTAAATCAGTATGTTCCAATGTGAATTTATACTCCTCCTCCTCCTCATTAAAATTACGATCTATATATTTCAAAACTTGATATAACCTCTATTCTTACCCAATATTTTAACTCATCTTAAAACTCTTATCTCATGTTTCCTCCATGTGATAAATACATATGAAAGTATACCCTGATTAGGTTACATTATATGCAAGAGTGATTATGTTGGTATTGTATAGTATGTTATGGAATGGTATGACATGGTATAGAATAGTATGATATATAAGACTCTACAATTGCAAAGTAGAGTGAGGATTCTCTTCTTGGCTTCAAAGAGATAATGTGGCACATTGTGAAAAGGCCTGCAAGAAGACCACATGAGCAAGAAATTGAGAGCAGCCCTGGGCTGGTAGTTAGCAAGCAAACAGGGAACACAGTCCCATAACTACATGAAGAGGAATATGTGGTAAATTATTAATATAAATGATCAATCAGTAAACTTTGAGGCTTATTTAGATATAAATAGTATTTTGATCTTAATGTAATAAAACATATCAATATGTAATTTTTGATATTTTGTTGTTGGGCTTAGAAAAATCTTCCTGGATTCAAGATTATATAACATCACATGTATGTCTGCTTAGCTATTTGTTAATCCACACTTTTGTAAAATCGTGAAGTGAGAAGTTTTATGGATGGATCTTGGAGATGACAACATGACACTACAAATGCACTTAATGTCAATGTACACTTCAAAATGGTTAGGATGGTAATATCACCACAATTAAAAAACAGAATTTAAATCTAAAAGTTAACTCACTTAAAACTCATTTTGATACAATATTAAAAGATATTGTGTGTTTGTGCTTCTGTTTGTGTATATACATATATTTTTCCCAAAAGTTAGCTATTGAATTCTATGATTCATACTGTATATACTTTTACAGCATATACTTGTCTTTCCAACTGTACAATATGCTCAGTAACTTATCAGATGATTTCCAGTTGCCTTTATTTAATTCTCATTATTTCATAAGGAAGGCATAGGCACTATGCAGACATAAGGCTCCAAGCCCTTCAAATTCTAGCAACAGGTACATGGAAGGAACACTTGAAACCCCAATCCTTAAGCTTTTGGTGACATCTAGTGGACTGTTTTTATAGGTTACATCTGTTCAATCTCAGAAGCACTCTTAGTTCCACCTAGCCACCCAGCTCCTTAATCCACTGGGACAATTTTAAATATTAAAAAATGTAAGATTTATTACATATAGAATGGCCCTCTGCCTTCCATTTTTCTCTCCATCCATCTTTCAAGTGCCAGTGATATAAAAGTGAAATGCAGCACAGTTCACCATTCCTGTCTTCAAAGAGTTCAAGGTCTTCTAACTAGCAATGGAATAAAACACATGAAAAATACCAGAGATGGGAAATAAAGATAAAAACATTCCTAAAATTAACTACAAATGTAAACAAATAACCTAGCTGTATTTAAAATTAAAAACATAAACACACTAAAGAGTCATTTCCTTATTTCAGGGAAAATCTCAAAATACACATTCCCTGGAAAGTCTTCCCCTCATCAGATAATTTTTTTTTTTTAATTTTTTGACAGGCAGAGTGGACAGTGAGAGAAAGACAGAGAGAAAGGTCTTCCTTTGCCGTTGGTTCACCCTCCAATGGCCGCCACGGCTGGCGCGCTGCAGCCTGCGCACTGCGCTGATCTGATGGCAGGAGCCAGGTACTCATCCTGGTCTCCCATGGGGTGCAGGGCCCAAGCACTTGGGCCATCCCCCACTGTACTCCCTGGCCACAGCAGAGAGCTGGCCTGGAAGAGGGGCAACCGGGACAGAATCCGGCGCCCTGACCAGGACTAGAACCTGGTGTGCCGGCGCCACAAGGCGGAGGATTATCCTAGTGAGCTGCGGCACCGGCCCAGATAATTTGTTAACATATAGTCCACACCTATCTCATAGCATCTCTCTTTCTAAAAAAAATTTATGTATTCATTTGAAAGGCAGAGAGAGAAAGAGAGAGAGAGAGAGAGAAATATGAATTTACCTGCTGGTTCATTTCCCAAACAGCTAGGGCTAGGCAGGATCAAAGCCAGGAGCCAGGAACTCCACTCTGGTCTCCAACACAGATGACAGGAACCCAGATACTTGGGTCATCTTCCACTGTCTTCTCAGCACATTAGCAGGAAGTTGGATTGGAAGTGGAACAGCCAGGCCTAGAACTGGCACTCCAGCATGGGATGCCTGTGTCACAAGATAGCTTAACACATTGTGCCACAATGCTAGTTCATTTTTCATCTAAAGAGTTTGATCATTAACCACACTGAACTGTGAATGTCTTAAGGAATAAAGGCTGTATCTGGCTTGTCACAGACTCAAATAGCTCTGATACCTATACAGCGACTTTCATATGAAGTTGGTTTGAAACTCTACAGGGAGCATAAGTGCACACAGTTTATTCCATGCCACGAATCCAGCCAATTGATGCCTGTTTCCTAGCTTCTATATTTCACTGTTCATTTTTCCTTATTAGTTTGATGGTAGATTGATCTCATATTCTCTGCCTTATTTGCTGATTTGGTGTTTGCTCATTTCTGAGTTCCTGGCAATCAATCTGAAGGTATGCCATCTTAAATTAATATATGTTAATGATTCTTCTGTGCTCCTTTACCCTTATCTATATATCTGAACATCCTAGCAAAATCTATCTTGATACTCTGATCACTGAGTTTATTCTATGTCCATGCTTTTGGTGTATTATCTCACTTAACCATTATAGCAACCTAGCCCTTATTCACACTTCACTTCTAGTTCAATTATTGCTACCTTAGGATTGTACTCTTATTCCTATACTATATTAATATGCCTGTAGTACCATATACAATGTTTTATAATGCTTATAATGCTAAAAACTTTACAATTTTTGTATGATAACTTAACAAAATTCTATTTTACGCTGTATCTACTTTCAGGGTTAATAATGTCTACTTTTGCTCATCAATGTGTCCTCATTGCTTATCTAAAAGATAATGGTTAACTTGCCTAAAACTAATCCCCAGCAGACTGGCTTCCCAGAAAAGGACTGGACTTCTGCAAGTTCACTGGAAACTAGTTATTGCCCATTTTTCAAAGCAACCAATCATGGGCAGCTGCACTGCTTGGACTAGAGTTACCCCTACAGTTATGTTAGTATGTTCCCAATAACGAATGTTGATGCAGCAAATCCTATGAATAGCCTGATAGAGAAACAGATTCAATGGAAAGACTTTGACCCCAGTCTCCCAAAAATCTAAGACAAGTTGTTATTCATGGAAACGCCTTCAAAGCCTCCATATATATTCCATTGCCTCTGCCTTGCCCAGCTCTTGACATCTGGACTGGCCAAAAACCACCACCAGGAGGCTCAGTGTCTTGTTTTTAACTGTTCCGGAGTAAGGCAGATAAATATTATCAAGGCCTCAACACATTCAATTCTCAGCCATAAGCACTGAGTAACAAGAAGGTTGAATCTGAGGTCCTGCCATTACATAATGCTATTGTATTCTAACCAATAATTATTCCCAGTAGGGGCCAGCACTTACTATATTATCAAACTCAAAAGCCCTAAGGCCCAGATAAATTACTCTTCTAGAGCTGAGGTGCTATTTGCAAAATCTCTGTGCACTCCATAGGATGCATCTGGGCAACTAGCAACTGCTACCCCTCTGTCTCTTTGAAATCTTTAATATACATGAATCTAGCAGCCAAGTATATGTGCTGCTTTGTTGGTTGCCTTTTAAGCATGTAAGTAGTGTTTGACATTTGGTAAGTCTGACATAAATATTTGATCAACATTAGATCCAAAGGTTATAGATGGACAAATAACCTCATGAAGTGAGTATTTCTCTTCCTATTTTATAAGTAAGAGATATAAAGCAAAAAATGATTAAACAACCAGGCCAAAATCACAGTGAATGGAGGATACAGGATTGGAATTTAGGCCTACCAGATCCCATATTACTTATTCTAAATCATTATACTTCATTACAACTAAGGGTTTTTCCATGATACATCAAGTTCTGGGCTAATTCTAAATAAAAATAACAGCTACATTTTTTAAAAAAAAAATCCAGACAATTATACTAGTTATCTTGCTTATAGGGTAAAATTAAGTCTATGTGAATTATGCCAGAAATTAATAATTCTCAACTCTAGATTTAAAAGAATAAAGACCCTGGTAATAATATTTGTCTTTTTTACTTCAGACTGGTTAGGAATGGAGCACTGAGCCTGTTGATGAAGTTTATGGTCCCTCTTGCTGTTAAGTAGTGAAGACAGAAGTAGTAGAAAATAAATAAGGGATGTAGATAATCAAAAATGTCTCCAAGAACTCAAGCTGAGTGACTGCAAATAGAATAAATACAATAAAGTCAGTGCAGAAACAAATATACGAGGAATTGAAGGGATAAAGTCCAAAGCAAAGTCCATGCTATTTCGTTGTGCTCAATGTTGTGGTGCTATCATTTAATAAATTCCTTTGCATTCCAGACACATGCTGTATATGCAGCATTTTTTGTTTATTTAAAGATTATATTTATTTACTTGAGAGGCAGAGTCACAGAGAGAGAGAGAGATGGAGAGAAAGGTCCTCCATCCGCTGGTTCACTCCCCAAATGGCCACAACAGCCGGAGCTGGGTCAGTCTAAAGCCAGGAGCCAGGAGCTTCTTCTGAGTCTCCCACAGGGGTGCAGGGGCCCAACCACTTGGGTCATCTTCTACTGCTTTCCCGGGGCATAGCAAAGAGCTGGATCAGAAGACATGCAGCCAGGAAACAAACTGGTGCCACATTGGATGCCGGCACCACAGGCGGAGGCTTAGTCCACAATGACACAGCACCAACCCCACACATCATCTTTTTAAAAACTTTCACAAATTATGGGGTGAGTGTTTGGTCCTGCAGTTAAGATGCCCACATCCTACATCAGAGCATCTCTGTTTTATTTCTGGTTCCAGCTCCTAATTCCCCCTCCCTGCTAATGCAGACCCTGGGAAGAATTTGTGGTGGTTCAAATAGTTGGGTTCCTGCCACCCAGGTGGGAGACCTAGATTGAGTTCCAGGCCCCAATTGCAGTCCCCTGGCTGTTGCAAGCATGTGGGGAGTGAACCAGCAGATGGAAGCTCTTCTGTCTCTCAAAGAAATTAAAATTTAAAAAAAATTCACAAATGTTCATAAAACATTATCACTATTGGTGTATGAAAAAAAACCTGAAAGTCAAAAAGTTTAAGAAGGAGCTGGCACTGTGGCATAGCAGGTTAAAGCCCTGGCTTGTGGCTGGCGCCGCGACTCAATAGGCTAATCCTCCACCTTGCGGCGCAGGCACACCAGGTTCTAGTCCCTGTCGGGGCACCGGATTCTATCCCAGTTGCCCCTCTTCCAGGCCAGCTCTCTGCTGTGGCCCGGGAGTGCAGCGGAGGATGGCCCAAGTGCTTGGGCCCTGCACCCCATGGGAGACCAGGAGAAGCACCTGGCTCCTGCCTTCGGATCAGCGCGGTGCGCCGGCTGCAGCACACAGGTGGCGGCAGCCATTGGAGGGTGAACCGACGGCAAAGGAAGACCTTTCTCTCTGTTTCTCTCTCTCTCCCTGTCCACTCTGTCAAAAAAAAAAAAAAAAAAAAAGCCCTGGTTTGCAGCACTGGCATTCCATATGGGTGCTAGTTCGAGTATCGGCTGCTTCACTTCCAATCCAGCTCCCTGCTAATGTGCCTGGGAAAGCAGTAGAGGATGGCCCAAGTCCCTGGATCCCTGCAACTACGTGGGAGACACAGAAGGAGCTCCTGGCTTCAGCTCAGCTCAGCTCCAGTCATTGTCTTTGTAGCCATTTGGGAAGTGAACAAGCAGATGAAGACCTCTCTCTCTCTCTCTCTCTCTCTCTCTCTCTGTCTCTACCTCTCTCTGTAACAGTCTGTCAAATAAATAAATATTTAAAGAAAAAAGTTTAAGAAAATTGTCTAAGCTACGTAAGTAACAGAATGAGGGTTTACATGCATAACCAAAAAATTCCCTACTATATTAAGGAGCCTTTACACATTACAGGGAAGCTTCTTTATTTCTTGTTTTCTCTAAAAATTTCATAATAGATCTCCTAGTTTTTCATTCTCCATGAGCATTTTAACAAATACAATAGCAAGATGCATTCAATAAGGTCATCATTGCTATGATTCCCCTAGAGTTAATTTTTTGCATTTGATAACCATATTCAAAGACATCTACAAAATATTTACTCAGAATCATTTTAAATGGTTCTTTGAAGTGCTACACTGTGAGAGAAATTAGCTTTGGAATCACCTTATTCACAAATAGACCATGCAGATTCTGAAAGGAATTCCTACTATTACTAGATTCCACACGTGCACAGTAAAAACACCATGTGATTCTGTTGAGTTCTTAAAAATGCCCCACAGAGGAAAATATTTATGAGATCATAGTAACTGTACCAAATAAAATTTCTGTGGAGGAAGAGGAGTTATACCTTTAACATAAGGCAAACAAGTAGGCAACTTGGGAACCACATAAGCCTAAAGACTAAAAACTGATAAAAAGGGTCCACTTAGATAGGATACAGGCAGAAAAGTCTTCCCCATCTCACCTGGCCTAAGGCAGGGGAAGGAGGTAAAGGAATTTCCCTATTAGGAAAATGGAATTATACCTCCAGCTCTGGATATCCTCCGCAGCTACAGCAGTAAAACAGGTTGTGATTAGAAATGGCAGATGGTCAGGCCTCACCTGGTAGGGGAATATTCAGTGACGCTGTCAGTTGCCCTGCGGAGAGTTTGGATGGTCCTGGAACCATCTGGACATAAGAAATGTGAAGGATATGGGTTCTCAGGAGCAGGCTGAGAAAGTCTCAAGATCGAACATACAAAGATTTTGGTTAAGATGCTCATTGCTGGCCAGCACCGCGGCTTGATAGGCTAATCCTCCACCTTGCGGCGCCCGCACACCGGGTTCTAGTCCCAGTCGGGGCACCAGATTCTGTCCTGGTTGCCCCTCTTCCAGGCCAGCTCTCTGCTGTGGCCCAGGAGTGCAGTGGAGGATGGCCCAAGTGCTTGGGCCCTGCACCCCATGGGAGACCAGGAGAAGCACCTAGCTCCTGGCTCCTGCCTTCGGATAGGCGCGGTGCGCCGGCCATGGTGGCCATTGGAGGGTGAACCAACGGCAAAGGAAGACCTTTCTCTCTGTCTCTCTCTCACTATCCACTCTGTCAAAAAAAAAAAAAAAAAAAAAAAGATGCTCATTGCTTAAATTTTACCCAAATGATAAGTCCTGAGAAATGTGATATGCCTTCTCTCTCATCATTATGAAAGTAATTACAAAGAGTTGCCAATTGACTAGACTTCTTGCATACAAAGATAGCTTTAATACATTAATTCGCAGTAAAGAAATGTTGGGGCTGTTGTATTATATATGTCTAAGAAATATATAGCCTTTGCATCCTATAATCTCTCAAACTCATCTAAACTGCATATGTCTTTATTTCTAAATATTTATACGTCATTTGTTCTTTTAAAATTACTAATAGTTTTGGGGCTGGTGCTGTGGCACAGTGGGTTAAAGCCGTAGCATGCAGTGCCAGCATCCCATATGGGCGCCGGTTTGAGTCCCAGCTGCTCCACTTGGGAAAGCCGTAGAAGATGGCCAAAGTCCTTGGGCCCCTGCACCCGGCTGGGAAACCCGGAAGAAGCTCTTGGCTTCTGGCTTCGAATTAGCTCAGCTCTGGTCATTGGGGTCATTTGGGGAATGACCCAACGGATGAAAGACCTCTCTCTCTCTCTCTCTCTCAAAAAAAAATCTCTCAAAAAAAAAAAAAATTTACTAACAATTTCAAGATTCAGGAGGTTGCTACTCAGAAACAGCTTTTCTGTTATTTGGAGATTTTTCACCATTATTATGCTTCAAAATGAATATAAAGGGAAAAACTGCAATTTCCTCTAAGATTTGCTGCTCCAATATGCAAGTTCTACCCCTGAGGTTAAGGTGAGCTAGCTGTGAACACAGTCTAAAAAAAGGAAGGTTCTAGAAACTCAAACAGAACGAGAAGTCACCCATATTGATGAGAGAACAAAGCAGGGAGGGAAGACCACTGTTAATTGTGTTGCAAATTAAAGTTTCATAATAAGTACTAGTATTTTTTCAGTACTTATTATATCCTGGGTGCTATGCCCAACTTTTTAATATTAAAATTTGTATTAAATATTTTGAACTAATAGTAAGAAATGTCAATGTCCAAACCACAGAAATTTAAGCGCTTGGCCTTTTTGCTTAAGATGATACTTTTAAAGAAATAAAACATCAAATTCAGCTAAAGCCCACTTATCCCAGCTCCTTCATTTCCTCCTTAGGCTAAATATCCTGATTTTTTAATGTCTCACTCCACTTGTATTTAGTTATTTTTAAAGTATAACTGTATTAATGCAATTTATATTTTTCACCAAATATTTTGATATTTACCCATGCTGACACATGTGGATCTGGTTGATTCACATTAGCTTCTACATTGAACTTCATTTTAAGGATAAGTCTCAGTTGATCAATTGCAGGTAGGCTGTTTCTATTTTTTTTTTTTTTTTTTTTGCTTTTTAACATTGAGTGTTAAGAACCAATCTCATGCTTCTTGTGCACATGTGCAACTTTTTCTATTTTCTTTCCTTTAAATGTAATTTTCGGGTCAGAAGGTATGCACCCTCCAACTTCACTAGGTAGTGTCAAAATTTTCAAATGATTGTATCAATTTATATATCTACCAGAAAGGTCTAATGTCTTTTGCCCATTTTTTTCCTTGTTATTTTTCTTATTGATATTTCCTAACATTCTTTTGGATGGTCTTCCAATACAAGTATATCCTTCCAATTTATCACTTGATGTTTCACTTTGTTTACTGTGTTTTTTTGTCATAAAAATTATCTTAATGATGTGAAGAATTTTACCAGTATTTTCCTTCAAGGTTTGTGCCTTTTGTGTCTTGAAAAGGCATTTTCTACCCCATGTTGTAAACACGTTTCTTCTGTATTTTCTTCTAAGTGTTAAAACACTTTCCACTTCACATTTATGCCTTCAAACCATCTAGAATATTTTTTTGTGTATGCTGTTAAGAGAATCTTATTTTCTTTTTGCAAAGAGACAGTCATTAAAAAAAAAAGTTCATTCTGCCACCAATGACTTTTAAAGCTCTCTCTGCCACACAACATGCTTTCATATACAAGTGGTCCTACTTCTAGGCTCTTAATTTTGGTCTACCGGTCTATCCTTGTCTGTTGATACCAAATAGCTTAAATTATTTGTGCTTTGTATTTAAGCCTCAGTATCAGATAGGGTAAGTCCTTCCTAATTACTGTTTTTCATAATTGCTTTGGCTCTTCTTGCTCTTTAATCCATGTAAATTTTAAGATTAGCTACATCTCCCATGTGTCTTTTAAAAAGCATACCCCTTTCTTAATTTGTTGACTGATGAAGCTACTGACATTTCTCAGTTTTGTGGTCAAATCTTTTAGTATTCCATCGCTGATCATACAAGTAAGTGGTTATTAGCAAAGAGGGGAGGGGAGCTGTGTGAAAAAAAAATTAGAATTTGTAGTTATGTTGCTTTTCCAAATTAATTTGATGAGGCTGAGAATAGTTTAAGACTTCCCAACCATGAGCATATGATTCTCCATTTTTCTTTTATGTTAATAGATAACAATTTTTCCAAGAAAGGTCTTAACATATTTTTGCCAATTCCTTTTTTTTAAGCTATTTCTTGCATTTATTCTTCTGGGCCACTAGTGTGGCTTATCCTTTAATTTACCTATGCTAAAAAATGTTTTTAGAGCTGTATATGTGGGTGTGTTGCATTCAAGCCTCGTTACTTTTTGTTGTTCTTCAGGTGACCATCTGTTTCCTCCAGTAATTATTATACTGAACATGGGGGCAATACTTTTCTTGAGATAAACAGGGGAAATCCACAGATGCTGGATGGAAATGGTATTTTCTCACCCTAAGGTTGGGGCGAGAAAAGGAGACTATTACACCCTCCCGAAGCTTTCGAAAGAAGCCTCTCTGATGGATCCTTTTTTTTCTGCTCAAGCCCTTCCCCCACCTTCAAAGCAGGGAACACTCAACCCATCCCCTTCACACCAGTCAGAAATTCATAGATACTGAAATGCTAATTCTCTGACCTCTGTTGCTGAGCTCTGAAGGTGCTCAAGTTTGCTTCTTCCACCCCTAGGGGAAGAAGTCCAATTCTCTGAGAGCTAGTAGTAGATCTAAAAACAAGGGCAAGTAAGTACATTAAAGCTAAGGATGGAAGCCATTATCATCCCCAAGTCTCTACTTTTCAATTGGTCGGTGGTAAAAATGAACGCTATCTATGGGTTTTGGGTTTTGTTTCTGTAGCTTTGTGGTTGGCTGGCCAAATCTCCACTGTTGTTCAAAACATACGAATGACATTTTGGGGAGCCAGAGGATAGGAGATTCTGCAGAGTCCCAAAAAGAGAGGCCAGCATTATCCATTTGCTTTTTTAGATTTACCAAGTGAGCAGAGCATTCTTTACATAACCAACTGATCTATGTGTTTTCCTCTTGTTGGTTGTTGGATTTTTAACACTGGGAACGCTGAGATTGTTTGAAAGACACCCTGATACCTTAAGAATAGTATAAGCCAATCCCTCCCATTCTCCCTCCAAAAATCTAGTTGGTTCAAAATGGGCAGAATGATCCATTTTTCCACTTTAGGTGGGCAGATGTTTGTGAAAGAGCCTAGAACTGTTTGCCTCATTTATCAGAAAATTTACAAGGAAAGAAGCCTTTGGGAGAATTTCTACTTTTAAATATAAGAAGACTAGTACGCAGGTTCAAGTTATACTTTTAACATGAGCTTGTTGAAAGAAACGTTAACAATTCCAAAACGCAATTAAACGAGTTTTAACTTTTTCCTCCCAAAAGCATGAAAAAGTAATGGAGAGGAAGTCAACAATAAATTTTTAAAAGGCAAAAAGTAATAATAATAACTCTTCCTCGTACTAGTCCTTGGGACAAGTTCTTCTTTTCGTTGGCTTCTTTGAGAACAAATTTTGGTCCCAAGTCTGTACGTCCTTAGTATCTGCTCCGGCCTTCCCCTCTCTCGCTTCCAAGGCGGCCTCCGCCCCTGGGGGCCCTACGGCCCGAACGGCTATAGGAATCACGCGGAGGCGGGCACCCCCTCTCCATGGACGGAGGCAGCCCGCGATCTGGCCGGCCCACCCGGTCTCGGCCTCGCGAGTAGCGGTCGCTCCGGCTGCTGCCATAGCTGTCGCGCCCGCCGCCGTAGGCGTCGGGGGAGCAGCCCCGGTACTCCTCGTAGCGGCCTCCTCCGCCGTAAGATGGCGGTGGGCCCCGAGCCGAGGCGGCGCCGCGCGGATCCCCGTAGCTCTCAAAGGGGTCTCGGTAGGAGCCTCCGCTTGAATGATCCGCGTAGTCACGGTCGCGACCCCCGTAGCCGTCTCGGTCGCCGTAGCCTCTCGACGGGCAGTCGTCGCGGGCACTGGAGTGGCCGTAGTCGCGGTAGGTGTACTCTCTGGGCGAGGGGGCGAAGTCGCGGGCGCTCGGGTAGTCGCGGCTCGAGTAGCTGTCGCGGGGCGAGTAGCCCTCCTCCCGGGGGCCCAGATAGGGGTCGCGGCGCGGGGCTGGCGGCTCCCGGCGCGGCGGGCCCCCGTAGCCATCGCGCCCACGCGCGGTTGGAGCCCGCCCGCGCATCCCGCCGCCGCTGCGGCCCAGGCCCGACGGCGCGGCCCTCTTCGGGGGCGGGCCGGCCCTGCGCGGCGGCGGCCCGCGCTTCATGGGCAGCGGGGCCCTCGAGGGCCGCAGGTCGAAGTCCCCCGCGTAGCCGCCGTCGTCGGCGGGCCCACCCCGGGAGGGAGGTCGCCGCGGGCCGCCGCCGCGGGTCCCGCGCAGGCCTCTCGGGCGACCGCGGCTGCGGGGCAGCGGCGGCCCGCGCCGGCTGCTCTCGTACGCCGGCTTGGTGGCCTGGGCCACCTTGATGGCCTTACCATCTAGGGACTTGCCATTCATATCTCGGGCGGCGGCCTTGGCGTCTGCGGGGCTCTCGAAGGTGACGAACGCGAAGCCCCTGGACTTGCTGGTCTCTCGGTCTTTCATGAGGAGCACCTCGATGATGCGGCCATACTTCCCAAACGCGGCCTCGAGGGCTTTCTCGTCGGTTTCGGGGTTGAGGCCCCCGATGAAAAGCTTCCCCGGGCGGTCGGCCTCGACCATGTCTGCGCGTCGAGCGGTCTGTGGCGGCGGGAGGCGAAGCCGCGGCGCGCCCGTCGCGCCCTGCGAAGCCGCTCGCCCGCTCGCCGACGGCGGCTCCTACCGGTCGGGCGGCGCGCTGTCGCCGAGTCCCGGAACCGCAGGCGCAGGCGGAACGCTCCGGTCTGAGCCCCTCGGAGCCGGTTCCCGCCGCCCGGCCTGGCTCCTGCTCCTTGTGATTGGCTGGTTGTCTCCGGGGGGCGGTTCCGCCGTCGGGCAGGTGCGGTTTTGTGCCTCCGTCCGTCCGCGACTTCCGGCTCTGTGACCCTGAGCCTCGGCCTGACGTCCTTGCTGGGCCGCCGAAGGGGAGAGCCGTTAAGTGGGAGACGACTTTTCCCAGCACTCTTAAGAGTATGATGCGTTCTAAGTCAAGTTACCCAAACCGCTTCCAAACAAACAAAAAGTAATGTAAAAATTGAACACGCCGTTTGTACGTGAAATGTGAGCAAAGTAAGAGTTCCTTCTTGGAAGCTGCCTTGGCAGTGGGCTGGCTGCCGAGGGGTGCGGGACCCGGAAGGCGAGGGGCTCGTTCTTCCGAGGTACCGGGTATTTTCTCGTCCCTTCACCATTTCCCTCACATTACAACCTGCGAAAGCAGTACCTGGGCTTGCGCAGCACACCTCAGCAAAGCATAACGTTTTCAGTTCATGGAAATAAATTTACACCCATATATTTCTTCCTTATGATGCTCTCTGACTGGAAACAAGTGTGGAAAGTACAACTGGTAAGTTTCTTTGCTTGAAACAGCGAATCTAAAATTGATTTGTTTGTTTAGTGTGTTTTGGAGCCGTTTGTTAAAAAAAACGGTAAAATTTCCCCGGGGGCCGGCGCCCTGGCTCACTTGGTTAATCCTCTGACTGCGGCACCAGCATCCCGTATGGGCGCCGGGTTCTGTCCCAGTTGCTCCTCTTCCAGTCCAGCTCTCTGCTGTGGCCAGGGAGTGCAGTGGAGGATGGCCCAAGTGCTTGGGCCCTGCACCCCATGGGAGACCAGGAGGAAGCACCTGGCTCCTGGCTTTGGATCAGCACAGCTCCGGCCGTAGCAGCCACTTGGCGGGTGAACCAAGGGAAGAAAGACCTTTCTCTTTGTTTCTGTCTCTCTCTCTCTTTCTCAATGTCTGTAACTCTACCTGTCAAATAAATAAATAAAAAACCTTTTAAAAAAATGGTAAAATTTTCCAAAGGCTGTAGTGAATAGTTCAGTTATGAGATGTCTGTCTGTATGTACGTATAAATATATTCATGAGGCCTCCAAAAATTCATGGAAAATGTCTATTAGGAAAAACCTATGCATGGATTTCAAAAATTTTTCTTAACCAGATTAACATTTTTTATTCCATCTTTCCACAAAGTTTTTGAAGTGCCTCATGTGAATATGTATGTGTTACATTGGTTTATTGCACCAGGTTTATATAGTTGAGTTGAAGCAGGCGTTTTTATGTTTCCAACTTAAACAGGAACACTTTTTTTTTTTTTGACAGGCAGAGTGGAGAGTGGACGGTGTGAGGAGAGAGAGACAGAGAGAAAGGTCTTCCTTTTGCCATTGGTTCACCCTCCAATGGCTGCCGCGCGGCGCTGATCCGAAGGCAGGAGCCAGGTGCTTCTCCTGGTCTCCCATGGGGTGTAGGGCCCAAGCACTTGGGCCATCCTCCACTGCACTCCCTGGCCACAGCAGAGAGCTGGCCTGGAAGAGGGGCAACCGGGACAGAATCCGGCGCCCCGACCGGGACTAGAACCCGGTGTGCCGGCGCCGCAAGGCAGAGGATTAGCCTAGTGAGCCGCGGCGCCGGCCCAAACAGGAACACTTTTAAGGCTTTATGATTTAACATGCATGCGTGGAAGTTTAAATGCATCATATTCATGTGATGAATTATGGTAACAGATTTTAATTAATAATATGTTTAGTATTAAAACATTGTGCTTCTAAGGTAAATCCATCTGGGATGTATTGATTTTCTAAAAAACTCTTAAGTACTTCACTTAGAAATGTTATCTTTCTGAGCATGAATTGTATTCATTTCTCTTTATTTTTCCCCCTACTGAAGTGGGGAGATTTTTCCTAAGAGACCCCCTGGCCTGGTGCTTTGAGTGTATTTTAGGTAACCAATAATTTTTTTAGTTTTGAGTCCATGTAGATTTTTAAAAATTTCCTGTTATGTTTTGTAAGATATACTTTTCTAAGAAGTTAATCAAGTTTTGATTAAATTTTCAAATTTATATATAGCTGTGCCTTGATTTTTCTTTAAAAAAATGTTTGCTTGTTTTAAGGGGGGCAGGGTGGAGATCTTTCCTCTGCTGGTTCTCTTCCTAAATGTGTGTAACAGCCAATGCTTGCCCAGGCAGAAGCCAGGAGACTAGAACTAAATCTGGGTATCCTTTTTGGGTGCCAGAGCCCCAAGTTAGTTTAGCCTTCACTTGCTGCCTCCCAGGGAGCACATTAACAGGCAGCTGGAATCAGGCAGTCTGATGTGGGCATCTCAAGTGGCATCTTAATGCTGTGCCATGTGTCTGCCGCTTTTTTTTTTTTTTTTTTGTGACCAGCATGGCTAGAAGTTTGTTGCTTTTCTCTGACTGTTCTTTCAAAAAGACCAGCTTTTAGCCTTCCCTATCCTGCTTTGATTTTCTTCGATGATACTTTGTTTTTTTCCTATATCCTTTAAATTTATAGTTGATATTATTTTTGCTCTGATTTTTTAGGTATGACACTTAGCACATTAAGAATTTTAAATAAATGACTATTCTAATTATTATATCTAAAGTTAAAATTTATTCTCTCTATAGAAGTTAACATGCCCTGAACTGTGATACTTGGTGTTTTCATTGTTATTCAATTGCTAACATTTTTATCATTTTCATTATTTCTCCTTGACCCATGAATTATGCATCTTAATAATAATAATTTGGATTATTTATAATTATCATAATAATTTGGATTATTTAACATGCTGTATTATGATAATTGGTTTTTGTTGAGATTTGCTTCGTGAGCTATTATTCTAAGTATGTGTGTGTGTGTAATGTTCATGTTGAGAAAAAAGTGTATTCTCTAAATATTAGAGTAAAATTATTTATGTATATTGTGATTTTCAAATCTTCCTAGTCCTTTTTATTTAACAGATTTGGCAATCATTGAGAAGTTTAAAAATTTCCCATAATTATGGTTTTGTCAATTTCCTGTTTTTATGTCTATTTTTGCTTTGTGTAATTTAAGGTTGTATTGTGGGATATGTAAAAATTGGGAATTTCTATGTATTTCTGGTGAATGCCTTTTATTCTGTAATGATCCTCATTATTCAAAAGGATCTTTTTTACCATAATCTGTTTAGACTAATACTTGTATCTTTCAGATTTCTTCCTGCCATTCTATTGTGCTTTCTGTTAACCATGCCTTTTTTGCCTTACCTCCTTATTTCTTGCCTTTTCTTACAGAAGATGGTTTATCTTTATTCTTCTTTTTCCTCTATTGCACAAAAAATTATGCCTTCCATTTATTTTATGTGAACATTTTTTTTTTTGACAGGAAGAGTTAGAGAGAGAGAGAGAGAGAAAGGGAGAAAGGTCTTCCTTCTGTTGGTTCACCCCCCAAATGGCCGCTATGACTAGTGCTGCGCCGATCCGAAGCCAGGAGCCAGCTGCTTCTTCCTGGTCTCCCATTCAGGTGCAGGGTCCAAGCACTTGGGCCATCCTCCACTGCACTCCCGGGCCACAGCAGAGAGCTGGACTGGAAGAGGAGCAACCGGGACAGAATCCAGTGCCCCAACCAGGACTAGAACCCAAGGTGCTGGCACCACAGGCAGAGGATTAGCCAAGTGAGCTGTGGTGCCGGCCATGTAAACATTTTTAGTGAGGACTAATTTACTTATTTTTTAAAGATAGATTTATTTATTTATTTATTTTATTTTATTTTAAAGGCAGATGTTACAGAGAGGCAGATGTTACAGAGAGGCAGGTGGAGAGAGACACAGAGAGACAGAGAGAGAGAGATTGAGAGAGATCTTCCATCAGCTGGCTCACTCTCCAAATAGCCAGGAGCCAGGAGCCAGGAGCTTCTTCTGAGTCTCCCACGTGGGTGCAGGGACCCAAGGACTTGGGCCAACCTCTGCTGCTTTCCCAGGCCATAGCAGAGAGCTGGATCACAAGTGCAGCAGCTGGGACTTGAACCAGTGCCCACATGGGATGCCAGCACTGCAGGCAGCGGCTTCACCCCCTAAGTCACAGGGCTGGCCCCTAATTTACTTAAAACATCTTATGTTTATTGCTTAATTTTTGCATAGGTGTATATCCATGTAACCATGACCCACATAAGATCTGTAACATTTCCACCACCCCAGAGGGTTTCTTTGAGCCTCTTTGAGAACAATATCTCCCTCCCAGAGGCAACTTGGTCTCACCTGCATCAACCATAAATCAGTTTTGCCTGTTCTTGAACTCTATATAAATGGAATAATATAGAAGGAATTCTTCTGTGCTTTATTTCACTCAGCATATATATTTTAAGATTCATCCATGTATTGTACCAGTACGTTGCTCTTTTTATTTTTCTTTTCTTTTATTCCACTTTGAGGAGTGATTCTTGTTTCCTCTATTTGCTATAGTGCCTCTCCCCTCCTCTAAGAATGTCCTTTTGGCTCCAGTCCCCAAATACATTTGCAGTCCATTCACTTATCTACTTCTGCATTGCTACTTTCTTCATACAAACTGTCATCCCTTGCAATATAATAAAAATATACATTATATATTGATATAGAATTCCTAAAAACACTTGGAATTTCCTGACTGATAGGAGTGTCTTTTCTAAGGCATAGTGAATCCCTGAGAACTATACCAGAGTTCAGGCTAATGGAGTGCCTGCCAGTAGAGTTCTTAATAGGTTCAGGATGGGATCTGGTCACCTGAGGAGGGTTAGCCCTTTTGGCACCTCTTCTGCCCCCACATCCCTGGGGAGGAGAGACTAGAAACTGAACCATTTCTGGATGTCTTCATACCAAAGTAAGGGGACAATTGTGTGTGCTCCCTTTTGTCCCAGGGTTCCTCTTGGGTGGACTAGTTTCACAAATGTCCAAGGAGCTCCAAAAGAACTATTACAATTCAATAGTATTTGTTATAAATTTTTTCTAGTAATTTAAAGCAGACAGTATTAGACTGTAGGGGCAAAACAGGGGTTTGAGAGCTAAGGTATAGCTCTGTATTCTTAATTAGTAGTACTTTACATATGAGGGTACTTCAAAAAGTTTGTGGAAAAATGAATTTAAAAAGTTCAT